CCTTAAGGCTGGACTCTTCTGCATCCTCGGTCCTCACTGGGACAATCTTATGTTTCAGAAGTCAAACATTTCAAAGCTTTGCAACAATACGCTTGATTTCATATATAACTTTTACTCATATGGACGTGTTCATTATGATTTTAACCACCTCTATTTGAACGTTACCTGACAAAAAAGATAACTACACCAAAGGAGCAATTACATCCATGTGTGGTAGACCCAAGCTCATGGCCCATCACATGTGCCTGTTTTTAAACCACACCTTAATATGATTCATAATCCAAACACAGACGTAGAAAGGTCTGAGCTCACATGAAGCCTTCGTGCCTTCGTTACCTGTTCATGCCTGTAAATGACTGATTTATTCTTCACTTTATATTTCACTGTGTGCTGTGACGTTGCTGCTAAAGGAGCAATCGTGCCTCAGGAGTGATGTATGCTTTATCAGATTTATTTATACAGCACCAAATCACAACAACACTCGCTTTAAGGCGCTGAAATGACTGGAGCTGGACAGTCAGTCCCTTTAACTCAGGCTGTAAATGGGTGGGCTTGGCTCCACCCACAGACGGGACCACGTAGAGTAACTGTAACTGTAACTGTAATGCTGCATGAATGTGACTCCATAAAAGAAACATGAACCTGTCAGTGTTATTAACACTAATGATCACTGCTGCTTTAGTCTGGTTTGCTACACTCGTCTCCTACATGCTAACTCTCAGTCACAGGCCCACAGCGCCACCCTGTGGACTCTGTATGTATGACTTCCTTTATATTGTTCCATGCACATTCTGCTCTGTTTACGCACTTTGGACCGATGTAGCCATGTTTCTGCTGTCTGTGCTGTTATTTGATCTCTGCAATGGTAAATAAAAGTCACGTCTCGGTCTATCAAGGACTGGTGTTGTTACTCTGTAGCTCAGTACTGTTGGAAGTACTTTTTCTTGCATGTACTCTTTTAGGGAAGAGTTTTTAGAAAGGTCTAAATCAAAGTCACTCACTGGGCTACTGAAGCAGCAGTTTGCTTTAACGGATTTGGTAACATTACAAAGACGGACAGCCGAATATTTCCTCAGAGCAGGAAACCCAAGCTGAGCTGAAACAACGAGAGTTAAATCAGATGTTTTATTTAATAAGTAAAACTATTTATTTTTGCACGTTACCTGGTTTAATGACACCATTTGAATGTTTGAAGTGCAAGCTGTTAAAGATTAAACGTGCAGCTAAGAGAAGAAGTGCTTCTTTACACACTGATGAAAAACAGAACTTCCATACATCCAAACAACATCAGGAGAAGGTTTCCCAGAAATGAGATGCTGGTGTGAGTAGAAGGTGAAGCAGGACGTTTAGTGGCTCATAAGCCT